CCCTGTGACAGAGGCCATATGCTGGTCCCGGGCTCGCACTGGGCACAGCAGAGCCCGGGACCAGCTTAACAGCGGGAGGGGGGGAGCCGGGGAGGGCGCAATTCACAGGACCTCATGCAAGCGATCCGCCGGCTCTATAGTCGGCGGATCGCTTGTACGGTAACGGGCATCGCTGCCTGTTTTAAAAATAACCGGCATTTCCCGCTCGCGCGCGCCCAGCAGCACGCGCGAGCGGGTGGATGTATACACGCCCGGTTACATCCAAGAAGCTCCCGGCCGGCCGTGTTTACACAACGGCTGCCCGGGAGGTAGTTAAAGATAAAGGATGGAAACTGAAGATAGAATTTTATTCTGGGAGGCATAATTGTATTTTTCTTCCCTCTATTTCATGACATTCTTATTTCCCTTTTGAATTTGTTTTGTAATAAAACATTGCGTCCTTCCATTTCACATCTATAAACTGGAGGAACAAGCGGAAAATAACTGAGCTGTGACATAAGACGAGGTGTACGGAAGTGGAAATCGGAAATATAATCTTCGTATTGTTTCAGGAGGAATCCGTGTCTGTGATATCCCTGACAATACGGACGGACCATGTAGTGTAGCCATAGAATGCGTGGAAGGATCCTCATTGTGAATGGTCTACACTGAGTTGAGTTTCTGATATTGTTCTGTCTTTCCTGTAGATGGTCTTCGTCTGGAGGATGGGCAGGCTGTGCAGCTAGAAGACGGGACCACCGCTTTCATCCATCACTCTACCAAAGGTACCCGGGGTTTCCTCATTCTACAGACTGGGCACAAAGCTGGTCACAATACAACCTTGTTGCACAGTGCTGGGGAGCTTGGTACAAATTCCCATGCTGATCCTTTCAGTTGAGTGTGCACATCCAGAAGGGACAGGTGCTGTGTGTGGTTTTTACGGGCGTGCACGCTGCGCGGACATGTACGCCCGTCTGAATGATCCCTAAAGATAAAATACCTCAAATCCAGTAGGGGAGCAATAGATAACTGGAACAGATAGTGATGCCAATCAAATAGCAGCTTATCCCACTCCTCCAATAAAGGAGATATATATCTGCAAAATGAAAAACTCTTCTAAGATCCGAAGGATGCAACACCCTGCGGTGTCACAGATGTGGTTTTGCTCATCTGCTTGTGTGGCTGACATACACATGTGCGCAGTACATCTAGCAGGCTCATGGTGCAGTGTTAAGCGCTGTTGTTCTCCGGATGTCGGCTCGCTTGTGGTGCCGGGTTGGTTTTAGCAAATTCATCATTAAATCCATCGCATACTTCTTTGTAGCACAAATAATTGGTGATCATCAATTGCTTTAATATTTCGCATTTGAAAACACGACGCCCTTCCTTCATCGGGAAATAAAATCGAAGTCGCCGTGTTGTTGCGGGCTTCACTGGGGTGCTGCTGTCTTCTCCAGCAACCTAAAGGCATCATGGTAGCTTTCCACATATTGAACCCGGATTGTGTTTCTGTTGATCCTTTTTGAACCTTTTTGTCTTAGACGAATTCTTACTAATTTTCAGGTCTTGGGGAACCTCTGTTAAAAATAATTAAAGGAGAACTATGAGGGGAGGGGGGGGGGGTTTTCACTCACCTCATAGTTCTAGCCGACCTGGGACAATGAAACTGTCACAGCTCGGCTCAGAAGATTGGGAGGTGAGGGAACACATACCGGCGTTCGCTCACCTCTCGATCATGTCACGTCTCTCTGCCGTGACAGGGGGAGGGGCTGGATTCCCCCCTCCCCGCTCCGATCCCCCAGCGCTGACTGGCGGAACGGACGGGGAAGGGGGCAGGTACAGCCGCTCTGCCTCTAGATAGGCGGAGCCAGCTGTCACTCACGCAGCTGGGCGGATCCAGACATATTTGTCGGGATCCGCTTCAGCTGCGGCGTCTCAGTATACAGCTCCCTATATACTGAGCATTGGGTGACGGGAGAATGCTAGTTTGTGTCCTCCCGTTACCCTAAGGACCACTTTGGGGAAAAGCCCTGGCCTCATAGTTCTCCTTTAATTAGGGGTCAGTGGGACGCCCTACTTACAGTGCTGGTCAGAATGCCGCCCTTACAAACCACTTATAAGATCCCTGGTGTCATGCAGCTGGCTCTGCCAGGTAACACTGGCCCTGGAACTATTTGCCATCACATGGGAAGTAATTCAATCACAGCTCAAGGAACTCCTAGCAGCCTCTGGAGGAACCCTTGTTGGGAAAAAGCCCATGGACTAATTACCTACCGCATGTGACAACGCTGAGCCAATCACCAGGCACGAGCGCTGTCACATGGGAGAAGGGCAGTGACACCGCCTTGTGGAGAGTTCCTCTTCCAGTCATTGGTTTCTGTTTTGGATGGTGTCAGGTTTATGGTGGAGTGAATTGTTAGAATTACCAGAAGAGATCCTGGAGGGGGGAGGAGTTACATGAGGAAGAAGGCGATACGCTGGAACCCCCGGAGTCTTGTTTTATATTGATTTCCTATTCTTGGTATTTGCCAATAGTATGATGGCAGATTGATTTTGGATAGTCTGGATATTGGGCCGGCGGCTTCTACACACCAAAGTATTTCCACAGTTACATCGGGTTGTAATGAGGATGAATAGAACTGAAGTGCCAAACCACAATATTTGAGTCCGGATACAAGTTTGTTCCAAAAATGTACAAAAGCCAACGCGTTGTAACGAAGCCCCCTTGTAATCGATACGTCTGACACTTTCCCGTATGCGTAATGTTGAAAGAAGATTTGCTGAAACTCTTCCTGTAGAGCAGTGGTTCGCAACCTGTGGGTCGCGACCCAAAAGTGGGTCACAACCCACAGTTGAGGGGGTCCCCGCGTGCCTTGTGCTGCTCTAGGTAAGAGGCTCCTCAGCCCCCTCCTAGCGCAGCAGTGTCAGTTCTCCTAGGTGGCGCTGCAGCAGCGGATCAGAGAGAGTGGAGTGAGGGGAGGTGAGTGCTTAATCACCACAGAGCCCACACTGGGCACCACAGAGCACGCACCAGAGAGTCCCACTAGCCACCTGAGAGCCCACACAGATACTAGTATTGGTACATCCCTAAATTTTACGGTTGGGGGGTCACCACAACTTGGCAAATGTTACCAAGGGGTCCCGGCCCTAGAAAGCTTGAGAACCACTGCTGTAGAGAATCATGGCGGTCTCTGTGTTCCGTTCCGGCAGACTCCTATGACCAGAGCTCCGTCCAGGCCGTGCAGCTCGAGGACGGCACAACGGCCTATATCCACCACGCGGTGCAGGTTCCGCAGCCCGACACCATCTTGGCTATCCAGGCAGATGGCACGGTGGCCGGGCTGCACACGGGAGAAGCCACCATCGACCCAGACACGATCAGCGCTTTAGAACAGTACGCCGCCAAGGTAAGGCTTGCTTTTTTAGTAACTTCGGCTCTTGGATACGGGCCGTTCTCCCTCGGGGCAGTGTTACACGATGTTGGGTTTGTTTTAGGTGTCCATTGAAGGTGGAGAGGGCGTGGGCGGCGGCACGTTAATCACCGAGACTGAGACGGAGAAGAAGATGCAGGTTTGTTATAATCATTTTATGCTTTGCTGCCAAAAAGATTTATATTTCTGTTCCTCAGGTCTTAAGTTTTACACAGCTCTGCCACACAGCTCGGTTCAGGTTAAAGGAGAACTATGAGGTGAGTGAAAAACACTCGGCCTCATAGTGCGAGCCGACCTGTGACAATGAGACTGTCACACATGTCGGCTCAATTGATCGGGAAGTGAGCGAACACATACCGACGCTCGCTTACTTCCCGTTTATCTCATAATTTGTAAATAAATTTGTTCCAAATCAGCCGATTATGTGATTTGTCCGGATTTGTTTTCTCATTTTGTGTCTCATAGTTGAGGTCTACCTATGGTGCCAATTACAGGCCCAACTCATCTTTTTAAGGGGGAGAACTTGCACAATTGGTGGCTGACTAAATACTTTTTTGCCCCACTGTAGATAGGCGGAGCCAGCTGTCACTCAGGCAGCTGTGGGGATCCAGACAGTAATGTCGGGATCCGTCCCGGCTGCGGCATCTCAGTATATAGAGAGCTGTAGCTCCCTATATACTCATTTATGCACTGCTCCACCATACACAGACCGGCACTCCTCACACTG